TATATTTCATGGGAAATTATCAAAAAAGTTTCTCTTTTGGGAATTCTGTCTGTTTATTTCCTTTAAGAGTGAATCTTAAGTGTTAGCTGATGGGACAATTTTATTGGACAATTTAACTGTCTAGAGAAAAATGAGAGCTATGATAAGTCTGTTACCATGTTGGGAACCTAACAAGAAGTCTTTTTCTCCTTTTGACTTTATGACAAATATTTTTTTTTTCCGCCAGAGAGAAGGAAGAAGAGAAAACCATTCATTCAATATTTAGAGAGAATATTGTAAAGGCAAGCACCTTTAGTAGCTAAATATGGCAATTGTTTAAATCACTTTGAGGCTTTAGGTTAGAAAAGTCGGACATTAGATTAGTTCAACCAGCCGGATATCATAAGGAGCTGGGCAGGTGAACCTCAAGGACAGTGGGAAATTCTTATTGTGGAGGACACAGAGCTATCTTTATTTACCACAATCCTTAGAGGGATACGTGTGGGTAGAGAAAATGAAGTATTGCTGAATTTGGAATTTTTTGTTGTTTTACATTGTGGACTAAGTTTTATAATACCACTTCCTTTCTTCTAAATATCTATAGGGAGAAAATAGATTCTTTACCTAAAAATAAGTTACAAAAAGTATTTTACTAGAAATTAATGTTGTAGTTATCAGCAATAATATACTAAAAAATTGGAGATATTATTTTATTTAACCTATTTTATTATCTCTTCATTTTAACATTCATCCAGAACCTTTTATGAAACGTTTATCCCTGGGGCAGAATAAATAGCAGTGAATAGATCTTATAATATGCCAAGTCAGAAGTCAAATTCAAAACTTTATTTTCTGATTGTCTAACCCCAAAATATATTCTTATTCTCTTTGTTTCCTGTTTCCCAGTTTGTTTTCTGTTTTATTTAATATATTCTGTTGTTAATGTTATTAACACTTGTCTTATAAAAGTTTTCTTTAAATATCCCCAGTAAAGTAAATGTTTCCATTCAAAATTAATTTAATATATATTCTTAGCATTTGCTATCTTAGATGCTGTCTACATTGCAGTGGGAAATAAATAGAAAATAAATAGAAAACAAAATATTATTTTGAACTTCAAAGAACTTAAATCCAGCAATGCAAGGACAAACAGTTGCGGAAGCAAAAATAGAATAAGAATCATGCTGAAAATATGTTGCTTTGGGGGTTGAAAAAATTCAAGAAGTCAGGGAAGGGAGGGAAAAATAGCCAGAGCACAGGGGACTTGTTAGGCCAATGAAAGTGCTCATGCATATGTATTTCACTATAAATTTTCCCAAACCTATAGAATGTACAATGGTGAATCCATTAGAACTTTGGGTGATAATGATATGTCTGGGTGGACCTTGGGTGATAATGAGATGGCAACGTAGGTCAGTGTAGTTTTTTAGTGGTCAATGTAGTTTCATCGTTTGTGATTAATGTTCTGCCATGGTGGGAGATGTTGATAATGGGGTTGGCTATACACATACATGTCAGATCAGGAGGCATATGAGAAACCTATGTACCCTCTTCCCCAGTTTTGTTGTTATATATGTTACTCGTACCAGGGATTGAACCCAGGGACACTAAACCACTGAGATACATCCCCAGCCCTTTTCATTTTGTATTTTGAGACAGGGTCTCCCTAAGTTTCTTAGACATTCACTGATTTGCTGAGATTGGCTTTGAACTTGTGATCCTCCTGCCTCAGCCTCCAAAGCCACAGGAATTATAGGCATGCACCACATTGCCTGGCTTCCTCTGCCCAATTTTACTGTCAATATAAACTATCTCTAAAACATAGTCCATTAAAAAGAAAACACCCTCCCCCAAGAAAAAAAACACTTAAGAAACTCATTTTCAGGGTGGCATCTGAAGGACTGGTAGAATAGCTCCAGGAGAATCAGGTAACAATGGGAATGGAAAGAGGGGATAGATTGGAAAGATGATTTGGTCAATAAAATCTGTAAGACAGAAGGGGAGAGCCTGGATAGCCAAGAGAAATTTTTAGAGCAAAGAGTCAGGAAGAGCAACTCGTAGACAGTTGGGTAAGAGATTCTCATGAGGTCAGTTTTCTGAAACGCTTCTTTGCTTAAACATAAAACAAAACAGAATTATATCCTATTTCCAGAATGGATAATAACTGTATTTTATTTGGCTACCCAAGGAATGAATCTTTTAATCAAAGAAAATGCAATATTATACAAAGACTATAACTAAATTTGTGTTTATGCTTATGAAATAGAGTAAATGATACTCTAAAGATATTATAAGAATTAATGGAGCTTCATATTGATACTGAATATGTAATGGCTTCAGTACTGCTAATAAAAAGCTATGGTATGGTGAACATTATTGCAATAATGTAGACTCGATGACACTTTATTCTTTTCATCTCTATTGACCAAGAAGAATGGCATATTAGTTTTCTTTCAAAAAAAGTTTCCACCTCAATGGCAGAAATACAAGAATGTCTGTTTTTCAATGTCTACTCCTGTAAAATTGTATTTCTTTTGATTACGAAGGAAGGATTAAAGGGTAGTGACTATACCAGCAACATCGCATGCCAGTTTATATGGGTCAGGTCCTTGAATTGCATATATCATTTTATTTAATCTTTTTAATCCGTAAAAGCTAAGCATTTGGTTCCCTAATAATCTTAATTTTGCAGATGAGAATATTTAGGATAGATAATTTATATAACTTACCTCCAACTTTGAACATCTCGTAAGACTTTCTGAATGAGGACAGCCACATTGGGAGTTGTGAGAGGCAAATGAATAAATACAACACATTTTATTTTAAATTTAAATGTTGAAAGAAATTCTTTTATTACATGTGAATATTGTGATGTGGTTATAATTTTAATTTTATTATTATTTTTACTTGATACAAAAGCATAAAAGTTGTACATATTAATGGAGTATCATGCAATACTGTAACATATTTTTAGGCGTGAGATAAAAAGAGTGTTGGTGATTGATTGGATATGGGATTGGGTAGATTCATGACCAGAACTTACTTAGGATGGCTCCAAAATTTCTGGCTTGCAAAGCACATAGAAAGTTGCTCCATTCCATGAGGAATGCAAGGGGAAGGGAAGAGTATGAGTTTGACTTAGTTATACTGTTTGAGATGAATGTGAGACATGCCAGGGGATAGATTTAATAGGCTGTTGGTTATGAGAATCTGGTGTCCTAGAAGACAGGAAAGAACCAGAGATAAAGCTTTTAGAGCCATCAGTTACAAATCAATCATTAAAGACATGGATAAATATATAATATTTTCCAAGGAGCATGTGTAGAATAGAAGATGAAAGGACTGTGTGATACCCAGGGGTAAAAAGCAGCCATCAAGGGGACAGCAGAGAGAGAAACTCATAGAAGAAATGGATAAGAGCATCTAGAAGTGAAAAATCCTCAGGGTACACATAATTTCATTTTTGAGCTCAATGATGTCATATCTTTGCAAAGCAGCTATTGCAATATTGCCTCACCTCTACATCTCTTTTCTGACCTTAGTGTATTAATGCCGCAGTTTGCATTTCCATTGAGAGAAGAAAAAAAATATTTCATTTACATTTTTAAATTTCTAGTGCATGAAGCATGATGTACAATTTACATGAGTATCTTAAACTTGCTCATAAATGTACAGGTAAATTTTGACAGGAGTAGTGGTGAAATCTTGAAAATAACAAACCTTTGCAAAATCCTGGGATCAGAGACATGGGAGAAAGTGCCGATTACAGTTCTTTCTTATACTATTATTTTTATCCCAGGATCAGTCATAATTAAGGATAATAGTAACTTCAAAAGGCTTATGGAAATGTATAACTTACCAGGATGTAACTTAGTCTAAGTAGGGTAAATAATATAAAACAAATAATTAATTTTTGGTTAATAGACATTTATATCATAGAAGTTTACATTCTTTACACAGCAAAAAAATTTCAGAAGATAATACTTATTTCTAGGATAAAGCAAATCATGTTTCTAGAAATTATTTCATGATTAAACATTTGTTAGTTGATTGTTTTTTTCCTTTTTATAAGAACATATTCATTGTAATAATTATAAATAGTTATTACTTGGTTGGTTAACTGCAATGTCAAAAGATTTTGAGAGAACCTTTATGAAAATAACATTATAATTATTTTTGATTAATATAAGCTATATAATTATGATTTTTCCCAATTTTAATGTAACTTGATATGACTGTTCCAAAATGTAGTTAGGAATCATAGGCATATTCAAAGTAAAATTAAAAACTTTAAAGAAATAAATTATTTTGAAAAATAGCAAAATGTATTTAAGGTACCCCAAGGAACAAGTGATAAAAGTTCAGATTTTAGATAGATTCTAATTTCAAATCTGAAGTATAGTCTGTTCATTTCTTTTCTGCATTAGACCACAATTAATTCTCTTATTTCAAACAGAAGAAGAATAAAATATAAATATTTGGGAGTACTGCAAAACTATAAGCTATGTTAGGAACATGGCAGAGATGAACTAGTAGAGCAAAATTTTTAGAGCATTCTACTTATTACTGTTTATTCTAAACTACGATTGTAAATTTGACATACAACACATTCCCGAACATCTCTAAAATTTCTTCCCGAAGGCCATTTTTTAAAAAGGTAAAATCTTTTAATCTTACATTTTATCTTGTTTCCCTCTATATTTTGCATTAACAATATGAGAATTTCTCTTTTACCTCTTTACTAGATAAATAGGGGTTATGGGTATTTTTTAATTCTATTAGTATAATTTACTATACATTAATAATTTAATAATTCTATAATTATAATGCCTCAGTTTAGACAAACATTAGTTTCACTTAAAATTTAATGTGTAGCCATTGATTCAATTATAATGTTTAAAAATCATTTCTTTGTTCTCTGGCTTGTATATTTAACTGTAAATCAGTAATATTTTATGGGAGGAAGAGAATGAGCTGGTTATTTTCTACATCTGAAAATCTGATTTTTTTATTTGTTGTAGGTTTTATTGGGATTTAATAATGCTTATCATGATGGTTGGAAATCTGGTCATCATACCAGTTGGAATCACATTCTTTACAGAGCAAACAACAACACCATGGATTATTTTCAATGTGGCATCAGATACCATTTTCCTGTTGGACTTGATCATGAATTTTAGGACTGGGACTGTCAATGAAGACAGTTCTGAAATCATCCTGGACCCTAAAGTGATCAAGATGAATTATTTAAAAAGCTGGTTTGTGGTTGACTTCATCTCATCAATCCCAGTGGATTATATCTTCCTTATTGTAGAAAAAGGGATGGATTCAGAAGTTTACAAGACAGCCAGGGCACTGCGCATTGTGAGGTTTACAAAAATTCTCAGTCTCTTGCGCTTATTGCGACTTTCAAGGTTAATTAGATACATACATCAGTGGGAAGAGGTAAGTCACATCTTTTTTTTTAAAGCCACTATATTCTGATTTTTTATTATGACATTTTGAATATTAATGTGCTATATGTCATGAGTTATATGAAGTTTGAGTAGTAAAATTTATTTGAGTATTCTTTTTGGTACATAAGTTATGTATTTATATCTCTAAAAGATATAAGATCAAATACTGAATTTGGATCAACTGAAAACAATTAGTAATTATAAAAAACAATCTTATGCCAATTTAATATATTTAAAACAAATCCACTTTTTTATTCTAATCAATGCAAACTCTCTTCTACCTTGGAAGACTCTTTGAATCTAACTCGAATACAACAAGTGCCTTCTTTGGTAAAGATGTGTAGGGTCTGATTGCTAACCTGTGTATCAGGAGCTTAAAAAGATAGTGTAGTATATGTTTCCCATAATATTGACATCTCATTGAATTTGTGTTTGAAGACAATACATTGTTAATTCAAGTGTTTCCAAGTTGCATATATGAAGACTTTGATTTTAGAATAATACTTTTGCTTATTATTATGCTTTACCTACATTTTTAAAAATTATTATAGTTCCCTTTTATTAGTTTACTTTATAATACTGAAAAACAGCATACCCAGGAGGGAAATTACTACATAGGAATCATAAATAGTACAGTGAATAAATGGAGTGCCTCTGGCCAATCAGGCCCCTATTTTGCTGAATAAGGCACCTGCTGTTCTTAGGCAGTGGGTGGGACCAGAAAGAGTTCAGCCAACTGGAGTTTACAAAGGTCCCAGTCAAATGTACCATCATCAAGCAAATGAGTTTATATGCCTACTTCCAGAGCCTGTATATTAACTTTTATTTTACTTTCTTTTCTTTCTAAATCTACCTTTTTGTATTAATTATAACCTGTATTTATTGTATGCATAAAAATGAAAGACAAAAATGCCTCTAGAGTCCCTAAACAGAACAATGAAAGCAGTGTACTGGCTGTGGATTGTTGCTTTGCTCCCTACAGAAAGACTTTTCAACATTTTAAAGAGAAATTATACCTTTAAACAAGTCATGAAATGGAAGTTCTGTTTGCTTTCCGTGTGGCTGTGGCAATGTTTTGTGTGTTCTTGTCAATGACACTTTGGTTCACAGGATTTCAGAAAATGACTTACAATAATAAAACACTGCATAATACACGGATGAAAAGGCATAAAAATGGATGATTCTTAAAATATGGATATGGGATATCTTTAAAATCATATGAAACACATTTGAGAAATTAGATTCATCTTGTAACTTTTCTCTGTATAGCACATCTCATCTTAAATGGCATTAATGTTCAGTTTTCAAAAGTTGTTTCATACTAATTTAAGATTCATATTAAACCAAAATGATTCTTTATAGTAACACTCATACATATTGAGGGTTTATCTTATATCAATAAATATATTTGATTTTTTACTGAACCTTTCTAACAACCCAGTGAGGTAGACAGAACTTTTATCATAATTTTACAGATGAGGGCAATTATATACAGTAAGGAAACTTGCCTAGATTCACAGAGCTGGTAAGAGGTGGAGCTGGAATTCTAACCATGGCAACCTGACTCCAGAGTCAGTGTTTTTAACCTGAAAAATTATAAATGTTCTCATTATAACATGTACTCTTTTAATCATAAACACCTTTATATTTCACCATTTTATGGAACAAATAGCATGTGATAAAAATTCACTGATATGAATAACCTGTCAATTAAAAAATACAGTAGGCAGTGTGACTAATTTTAATATCCTGTAGTTTTAACCCAGTTACCCTAGAGAATGGCAGCAGGATGAACAGATGGCATCCTATCAGATAAAATGGCAGGCCATGTGGTCAAGGAGGACACTCCTTAGCACAGATGCCCTCTGTTCTTGGCAGTAGTCACAGGCACCTAGATCTATGTAACATGTCAGGGTTTTAAAGATGCCATGATATAATTCCGGAGCTTTGGCTTACTGCCATCGTTATTTTAAAATGCATTTTAATGTATAGTTACAAACATTTGGTAATCAAATGCTTTCAGGACAGAGTTGTGAACTGGCAAGATCTTTCTTATAAACAAATGATCCTGGAAACAAAGGAACAGTAAGTGCATCTAGCTGAAGGATGCATTCTTGATTATGTGATATGCTCATATACTCTTATGTATCATGGATGTTTAATTCTTGTTAGCAGTTAATAGTATTAAAATAGGAAGAAACAGAATTATAATCCAGAATTTAATACCTACACCATTCAAACCATAATCACAAAGAAACTTGAATGGCTCCCAAACTGGCAAATCTCGACCTGATTTTTATAAATGCCACCCGTATGTATTTACACTTAGAAATACAACAAATAAATCAAAAGTAGCTCTGGGAGCTTTTAGAATAAGACTAGAGAAGAAGATGTCTTGAGTTCACCCACATGTCTTTGAGTTCTGAGTGTTTTAGTATCAAGCTGGCTAATGCTAAATTCAGCAAATTTGGGGAAGTAATGTGTGAAGTCTGGAAGCTGCCACTGTTCTAAATGAATCATTCCCTAGGAAAGCAGCTATCTTCTATAGGAAACTGCTTGCATCTTCAACAATACTTTAAATTTTCTTTTCCATAGTCTGAATTAGTTCAACTGAAAAGCAACAAGGAACTCTAAAGTGAGATAAAATAGAGAAATATTATCAATGAAATATGGAATGTTTAATACATAGCCTTTATGTTTTTTTAAGTGTAGTGGTTAATATAGGAGGGAACAGCTTATTTGGACAACTGAATTATAAAATGCCATAGTGTGAAGCTGTCAGGATGGAGGCTGTTTTCACAAGTCAATTATGAAAGATCAATGTCTTTAGGATGCAAAAATAGAGCTCTCTGACACTAGACTGAAATTTTGTATATATTACCAGGTAAGGTGAAAATGTGAGGTCATTTAGATAAATCAGGCAAGAATATTCTTTTTCCAATAATTTTCAGAAAGCTGAGGTGAATCTTTCCCAATTTTAGTAATTTTGATAAATTATTCCCTTAATTCTTTGTTGTATTTCAGTAGTGACTGTGATCCAAGCCAGATTGCTACTTTGTAACCTGTCGGAAGGAGGACTAATTCTGTATGATCCTTCTAAAAGAGACATATGGCGAGGAAATCCTTGGAAATTAAATGGAATATTATTAACAATTTGTGACAATCACAAGCCACTGAAGAGATAAAGAGTAGATTAAGAGCTTAGTGAATAGGAAATCATTCAGTTGGTAAAAGTGAAGTGTCCTAGGAACCTCAAGTGCCCCGGCTGCTGATCTCAGTCATTTTGTCAAAGGGAGGTGACCTTTGACCTTTTTAGAGATTAAGAAAACATTAATTCCAAAGAGAAATACCACTTTGTAATGCTACCTATTTGTAGGATTTCTTTTTAGTGTCATAGAAAAAATGTAAATACCTCATGGGTAGTATAGAAGTGTGGGAAAATGCACCACTATACATAACTTTGGCTTTATAACACGGAGGTTTTTAATTTTATCTTTTATTTCTCATTCTATCTCTTCCATATCCCTGTGTAGATTTAGACATATCACAATTAACTACATACGTTTTTGAGGCAGAAAAGAAGACTGATATTCTTATATGTCTGTAGCAATTTCAGCTGAATAATATAATTTGAACATTGCCATGCTTTTCTAGCAACTAATATTAGATTTCTATGTTGGTTTAGACATAGTCATATCTATAAATTATGTTTAATGACATAGCATTAATAAGAAAATTGAGGGCACTGGGAGCTAATACAGACTTTAGTTTTTATCGCTGGTCAATTTTAGCATTTAAATGGTTTAGATTAGAAACTAACTCTTGTTACAAGTTGCCTAGCTATAATTATTTAGTTTATATTTTAACTACTTTAATCTTTTAGAAACACATAAACTTAGAAGATTTATCATAAGCAAACAGTGATATTTTCCTAAACCTGCTCTACACTAGAACTCAGAGAGGCTCCTTTTGCCCATCACATCAAATCTGTGTTTCTTTGCTATTCCCTTAAAGCCCTCCAGCATACCACTTCCCTGTCTTACCACAGTCACTTCATATTTCCACCAAAAAAATCTTTTCCTTTTGTTTTTAAGTTTTACAATACTTTTTGCAAAGAATGACTCTTTCTTCTATAATTTTGCTTGTGCTACACCTCAGATTTGGAAGCCTGTTTTTATTTTCAATAAAACTCAGACTCAAACTCATGTCCAGAAATTATTCTACATGAGTGGACTAAGTTCCACATTAGTATTTGATACTGAAGAATTCTACTGGCTTTGCATGCATTTGTTCATGATATTAAGTAATGTTTATTTTCTGTTTTCTTGCTGGACACAAACCTGTATAGGAAACCATTACGATAAATTTTGTCCTTGTATCACCTTTCTATTCATACAATGTTCTAAACATAATAGATAATCAGAGCGTGTCTATTCACTAAATGCATGACAATCTTTTGTGTTCTAAATCCACTAAATAATTATAAAGGAACACGCATTCTTCACTCCTAAGCATTTATTGGGTAGTGTCTATTTATAGGTGTTGTACATGAGAATACAATGTGGATGGCAGTTTTGAAGGAAAAGAAGGCATGTGAGTAAATAATCATAGATAGTATAGTCAGCAGTGGCATAAAGGAGGGAGTGAACAACACAGTTTCTCACATGAGAAGAGGCTGTCAAAGACACTTGAACTGAATTTTAACTGATGTCTGGATTGCCAAGTTGAGCAACTGTGTCAGGCAGAGGAGTGTATTGCAATAAAATACAAGGTATAGGCAACCTAGCACAGTAGCTGCATATGTCCAGGGTGAGTTTGGAAGTATAGACTGGAATTTGTGCTAATAATAGACTTAATAAGGTGTTATTAAGGCATTTTAGGCAGGGGATTTGCATTTTAGAGTGTTACAGAGTGGAGGGGCCTGGAGGCTGCTTAGGATAAAGCTAATACTACCAGTGAGGAGAGAGGATTATCAGTTTCTCATAGTTT